TGCTTTTGTCGGCTTTTAACAATCCTTCAAAAAAGTCCATGGCAAACATCAGCATAGTGAGCGATTGACTGACAGGTGAACACTTTTTCTGGGCGATTCACATTTACATAAACCTATCGGAGCGCCTCGTGGTCCGAGGGGCGAATGACGAGGATGCTACATAGACACATTTCTATTTCTCCACACATAGACACATACAGTCGAGGTGCCTCTTAGCCAATGGGATGCCAGGATGGTGCTCGGTAATAGCCAAAGGCAGAGCAGCTATAAGTTTGTTGCGTTCAGGAAAGTCGGAGCTGCGAGTAGCCGCCCATACTGTATTTTTACATTTCGTATTTTGAAATTCATTTCGGAACAAGAGGCAATGTTTTCCTGTTTAGGCGTTTCGTAACATGAAAATTTCAGATGAAGAGATGTTCGTAAGTAGAGCTACCACTGTATACTTTGTAATTGTCACATTTCACGCATGTGGATTCAGATTAGAATTGTTTGCCCTGGCAATGCTGATATTTACCCGTGAGAGTCAGTCACTCGTGGTAATTCTGTCTAGCCCTCCTCGTGTGACATTTATCTGGTTCCCGATCATCTGCAGATGTGCAAAGAGAGTCAAACCGTGAAAGCAATGAAACAATGAGAAGTGCTGCAAGAAAAATGTCAGGTTTCCCGCTTTTTCTTCCAACAGTTGGACACAGAAACAAACCCCTTGCTGTTGTTGGCAACTGTCTCCAGGAAGTGTTTCCCCTTTTGCTTGGCATCGACCCGCTTCTCTGCTGTGTGTAAACAAGCTTTTTTTTTTTTTTTTTTTCATTGTCTGGGCCCGTGGGGAGGTGGTGGGGAGGTGTTGCGGGGACACCGCTTGACGTGAGTAAGAATTCAGGAATGTGACTGGGCAAGCCTTTGGCTTGACGCAGCCCAGAGTGACTGCGAGGGAATCCTTGGCAGAGGGAAGTCCGGGAAACCCGTTCTGCACCTCCAGCCCTCCCTCCCGCTGTCTTGTCCTTTCAGTCAGTCTGTCTTTTGTCTCCCGCACTTGAGCCTCAGCCAGCCCGTCTGCTACAAAAACATCATACAACCAAGGGAAAGCGCAGTAATGGGGCTTATGTCAGACCGGTGAAGCGTGGAAAACAGCAGAACCCACTTCTCCATATTGCTGCTGCCGCCGCTGAATTCCCCTCTGACTTCACTCATCAAACCTCAACGGTAAAAGCCCTCGAGACTGCGAGTTTGAAGTCTTCCACAGTGACTCAGCAGTTTATTACGCCCACGCTATTTATCTGGCCTGGTTGGCAGTGGTGGCGGGCCAAGCAAAGATGCCCAATCCCAGCATCCATCTCATCGAGTTTGGGGGGGCCACTAAGGCAATCCAAGGTCAGCTTGATGACGCAGTCGCTCCGATGTGGTCTACTTAATGCCTGGACATGCCCAGAACACATCATCGGGAAAGTGTTTATTTGACACCCGTAATAAGGTGCAGTCACACTCGTCTGTTTTAATCAACATCAAGTTGTTTTCCGCCCTCGGTTCGGTTTGTTTAGTCAGGTGTTAAAGTAATGGAGCTCAGGTGCGGACTGCGGACCAAATCAACTAGTTTGAGATGATGGGGTTCCACATTAATTCTGAAACATGGTTCCTTTAAGCGGGAGGAAGCACGCAAAACCTTGACATGATCCAACTGGTAAGGAAAGAAAGCAGGTAAGACATCAAACGACACAATGGTGACGTAACTCCAGGCAGCACGTTGCTTACGGAAAATCTTTTTTAGCCTGGCACTTGAATGTAGCACTTCTTTTTCGAAAATTTTTTTTTTTACATACCGTAGTGGCCCGAATATAAGACAGCCCTGATTATAAGACGACCCACTCTTTTTCAAGACCCAAGTTTGAAAAAAGACTTTTTGAACACCAAATTAATTTTTATACGGAAAATAATTACAGTACATCTGAAACAAATGATTATAACAATATATTTGAGAAAAAAAGCATGTTATTTTGCCTCATTCAAATCTTAATATCTGAACATTTAAATATGTAAACTAAAGCGCAATCACATTCGTCAATGAATGGCGTCTGGTTTTTGAAATGTAAATTACATCATAACTTCTCCTCAGCGGCAGAGTTAACCTAGCCGATCTTCGACCCACTTTTCTCCAGATTGTCGCTATGTTTCTCCATTTTCTGTTATCTCTTCTATTATTTTCTTCTCTTTACTTTCTTACCGCTATTTTTTATTTTTCTTCTTCGTGCTACCGCTATTCTTATTTTTATTCTTCGTGACGGGTTCACTTTGGCCTGGGGAGTCAAGTTCAGCATTCACTTCAACGATATCTGGCGTCATCTAGCGTCGTGAATGGGTATAACGTCTAGACCCCGAATATAAGACGACCCCCACTTTTTCAGTCTTATTTCAATGCAAAAAACACCGTCTTATATTCGGGCCAATACGGTATTTCCTGGACACAATGTTGGCGCCTGAGGTTAGCACATCTAAACACTATCATTTTTTATTTATTTTTTTTGGTTTTGGTTTTTGCTATGAGCTTCAGATATGCCGCTAATCGATTGCACGGGCAAAGACGACAGTCTCGGACAATGAGTCAAACACATGAACGTAAAATGAAGACACTTGCAGGGGAGCAGCGTGAAGAGGCAAACTAACAGCGTGGTAAATCGAGCTGGAGTGGCCCCTGACATCATTTATTGGGCCACACTCTTGAAAGCCAAACGTCAAAATGCAAATACGACGCTGTGTGTGACTTTCAGCTTAATTACGCTTGATCAAATTAGTTCTTGAAAATTCCGTTTTTACAGCCTTGGCTACGATGTATAAAAGATGTGTGTTGTCAAGATGGTCCATTTTTTTCACAACACTATCTGTACTTTTTTTGCCCAACAAAATGAAACAAGCATTTACCGGTATTTTCAATGATACCAATCAGTTTTGGAGCAATCTGTAAAAAAATAAAAAAAATGAAATAATAATAATAACATAATAATGATTGCCCTTCCACTTGGTTAAAGTTGCTTCATAATAAGAGATGTAGTTTGGACAAACACGTTTACGACTGTGGGGAAATGGGCTGGTCCTCTGCCTCGGACACCGAGCAGTCTGACATTGCAATTTTTGACCTGGGGGCGCTCCAAAATCTGCTAAAATCATCATAAAACAAGCTTGAATTCACTGCTGGGTCTTTTGGGGAGGGGAATTTTTAGTTCAGGCATCATTTTTAAGTCCACAACTCGAAAGTAAGTGCCAAAGTTTGGCCATTTGCCCTTTAAGTTGTTTCTCTTTCCGCTCGCGACGAGTGCAAACTGAGTGACTGCAAGGATTTTGTTTTTGGAAGGCGGTGGAGGCCTGGCGTCACCGTCCTCCTGCTTTCCAACTCTTTTCCCCCCACACATGGTCACGTTTCATAATCGTGTAAAGGACGGCTGCTCAAAACATGCTGGAGAAACATGGCGCTTCTTTCCACGGCACCATTTAGGGTCGCCGCAATCCGCATGTTGCTTCTTTTCCCACTGAAGCACATTGCAAATTTTTTTTCTACATTCATCAGCAGTCAGGATGAATTTGTTTCTTTGTGTTGGACTTGACTGAGCAGGTTTGTGTCATAAGCGCGGTAACAGAATGAAACGCTACCCGCGTTTTTCAGAATACGTCTTGTTTTCTGCCGAGTGACTCACCTGAGTGCGGGGTGATCTTATTTGTTCATGAAACCCCAGCGGCAAAAAAACAAAACAAAACAAAAACAATGTCGCTTTCAAAACGTTCAGATGAGAAAAATTGTCAGGCGCCGAGATTTTTGTGGGAGCTTTTGCTTTGACGGAAATAGACTACAAATAAAAGATGAGAGCCGAAGAAAAATATATCCATTTTTTTTTTTTGTTTTTGTTTTTCAGTTTAGAGCAGGGGTGTCAAACATACGGCCCGCGGGCCGGAACCGGCCCGCAAGTAGGTTCAATCAGGCCCGCAGGATAATGTAAAAGTGAAAAAAATGCATTAAAGACACAGAATTAATATTTTTAATCAGGTGCAATTCATTGAGTATCCGCAAGGGGACACTGTTTTGATCAGAGAAGAAGACAACAGCAGCCTCAGTCTGTCACTGAGACAGACCCATGACAGCAGACGCTATTCTTTATGAATCTTGTTTAATCTTAAAGTGCATTACTATATTTTTCAATACCAATTACTTGTTAAAGTTTGTACAATCAGTGGGATCAGTTGCAATGCATATATGTGAATGATAAAAGTAAATTGCACATTTGTCAAAGGAAATGTAAGGTGCTTCATGAAATGTTTTGTAAAAGATATGTTCATTAAATTTCAACATTTTCCTCATGTTCTTGTGCTTCTTTATACCAAAACAAAGGAAAGACATATTGTTTTGGTTATTTATAGCAAAGTATGGTCTCATTTTAATGGTCCGGCCCACTTGACATCTACCGAGGCCGTATGTGGCCCACCATGTGAAATGAGTTTGACACCCCTGGTTTAGAGTAATAACTTCCTTTTATAATCACATTTTAAAAACTTACAACCACCATCCAACAGGAAAGGTCTCTGTAAATTAGGGTTGAATGATGTTGAAAAAAAAATCTACATCTTCATATTGCGATCGTGATTTGTAATGCAAATTTTTTTTAATCATTATTTATTTATTTTGGGCAACAAAAACGAAATTATTCCGTCTCACAGAACAATATCAGAATTATTCTACTTCACCGAATTGGTCTTCGAGGTTGATCTTATACTAAAATAAAGTCCAAGAGCCATGAATGAATGTGAAAGACATTTGATCAACTTCAATTGGAGATGTTCACTCCTGAAAATGTGTTCACTTGTGGTCTTTCAAGCATATACATATACCTGCACATGGACATAAAATTCAATGTTAACAAAATATTTTCTTTTTTTTTCCCCCCCTTACCAATCCTCGCTTCCTTTGTCTCCGCCTCCACCTCTGCAACTGTTCTACAACCATCGTGACGTCACGTCGACAGAGCTCCCTGCTGAAGAAGGTAATTTTTTTTTTTCTCCCCCCTCAGTGTGACTTCTATCCTCCTCCCTTGCTTGATTAAATGTCTGGGGTCAGTTCTGGAGACCCGGGTATAAACTAAGCCAGGGGTTGGCAACCCAAAATGTTGAAAGAGCCATATAGGACAAAAAAAAACAAAAAACAAATATGTCTGGAGCCGCAAAAAAATAAAAGCCTTCTATAAAACTTACAATGAAGGAAACACATGCGGTACTGTATGTATGTAGGAGACTGGACTGTCTCAGAATTGTTTGTTATTCATTCCTTTGTTGTGTGTTCACAAACGCCCCCATAGAATTTATTTTGTGATTTCCTCGCTTGATTTTTTTTGTTTTGGTGTATTATTTTCGCTTTTCTTAGTGTCAGTGAAGTGATCATGAATTTCCGTTTTTCGGAGGCTGTCTTTGAACGCCTCTCGAGTTGAACGAGAAGAGAGAAGGCACGGAGTCGGACGCAGACGTGTCTGTGTTTGTCGAGACTGTTAAACGCATAAAGTGTACGTTTTAAAAAAACCAACACCACAGCTCTCCTTTTTCGGAGCTGCAACATGTATCTACAGTGTATCTATTTGAGCTATATTAGCCTACTATCAAAATCTTTTTCCGTTTTCAAATTTTTTTTATAAAGCTCCAGGGAGCCAGTAGATGTCGCTAAAGAGCCGCATGCGGCTCTGGAGCCGCGTGTTGCCGACCCCTGAACTAAGCTGTCACGCTCATACATATGTATACACTACTATATACAGATGATGATTATTTATTTATTTTTTTCTGCTTGTAGATGTTCGGAAAGTAGATGATACACATTCTTTCCACTGTCAAATCTTCTCAACTTTGACTCCTTTCAGACAAGTGTGTGTTTGTGTGTGTATTTTTGTGCATATGTGTGTGCATTTAACAGGAAAGTCCCTGTGGGAACTCGTGTTGGAGCAGTTTGAAAACCTTCTGGTCAGGATCCTGCTTCTCGCTGCCTGCGTCTCCTTCGTAAGTAACGCTCGGTTCACCCCACTTTTTGAAATAATGACACTCGAATTGGATTTTGGGTTGGGAACCGAAGCGTCATTCTCATTAAGGAGCAGCGGTCACCTTGTTACTGCTGTTTTTTTAGCTGGAAAATTGAGCATGAAAGTCTTTTCCATCCAGTGTCGATCCGGTTTTAGTGAAGGGAACATCCAAACCACTGCAGCGGCTTAAATTGTGACCTTGCTTGGAGTGAAGGTAGGGGAGGCGTGGAACGGGGAATCCTGAATATAAATGCAGATTTTTCCATCTCTTACAGCACGTCTCTGGTGTTTTGGGATGGAATTGCTATTTCTGAAACTGGGGGGGAAAAAATAACATGGCTCTAAAAATGTATTTGACACAATTTGCCCTCCCGAACGGCTCCGAGGGCAGGCGTGGGTTGAAAAAGCTCACTTTTCCTCAAGTACTGTTAGATGAAGTTTTCTCTGTAAATACGGCGGTTGACGTGGAAGAGCGAAGGCAAGCTGTTAACTTCTTACACACCCAGTCTACTTGACATTCATCAAGCTGTTACATTTCTGTTGGCTTCCACTGTTTGCGCATCCATGTTCGCACCGAAGGCAACGTTGCACCTGAGCTGCTCCGACCTCTTTGCGTGACGTCACACTTATCCATCTCGTGTTTCTGCATTTGACTTTTAAAGTTTTCTTTGTCATTTCAAACAGATTAGCATTCACCTTCATGTCTTTTTGTACTTTTTGGAATCCTTCAACAATCAATAATGGCAGTGCATTTGTCTTCTGTTTTAACACTCGTGTTTAAACCAACTAGTTATGTAAGGTTCTTCTTCCGTAAATAAGCTTCTACTCATCCTGCCCGCCGTCCCCTGCTGGTTGGATCACAGAATCTGGATTTTTACATCACTAAGGACAAAGAGCAAGTGCGAGCTAACCCAAGTTCTCATAAAAACAGTATTGATTGTATTTCCACTCGTGGAGGCGACAATTCATGACAAAGCCACCAAAATACAATTGTCAACTTGGGTGCGGATCCTTGTCGGTAGCACAGGCACATTATTTTGCCATGTCACAATGGGGCCAACAAAAACTCTTCAAAGTCTTGCTTACAGACACATTTTCAGAAATAGCGCACAGGAACCGAACTTAATTGGGAAGTTTGGCATTTGACGGGAAGACACTCCATTCCGAAGACTCAACTATTTGAGTTGGTGCTAGCTATTCAAAATGCTCGCGTCAATGTGTGCAGACCGCGTAATGCGTTTTATTAAAAAGGTCCTTTTCCGAGAGCGCTGCCATTGTCACCATACAATCTCTCTGTCATAAGGCTCAAACGAAGTAGAATGACGTGCTATCGACCGCGCTTGGGGTGTCGTGACACACTCTGTCATCCACTGAAAAGTGGCCACACTTCATCTCTCCTCACTTACGGTGCCCATTTAATAACAGCGCTGTTACCTTCTATTGATAACAAGTATAACCTGAAATACGAAACCAAATCAACACTGAGTCTCTGTTAACACATTTGTGATTAGCTGCCTGACATGATATACAAAAGATCTTTGTCCCTAATAATCCCTGAATTTTTTTTTTTTAAACCAGACTTAAAAAAAACATAAACATGCAGATAAAAAGTCAAAAGTTGCTGTCGGGAAGTTATCATTAAACTTTCAGGGAAAGTGCTTACTACAGTGGACACCTTATTGTGTTAGCAGGTGAAAGCATTAAGCTAGCAAGATGATCTTTTCAACGTCAACATAGTCACGGTCATCAAAACTGCGGAGGTGATCTAGTTTGCCCGGAAGTTTTCAACTCTTAACTCTTGTCTCTCATATTTAGTTTAGTTTTCAGCCATTTTTACATGCACTGCCAACAGCGAGTGTCATCTTTCAGAGTGGTGCAATTGCAATTTAGTGCTCGCTATTTGGGTACTTAGTTCAAGATTGTGATCTTAGTCGGTCACGTGCAACATGCCCACCGACAATGTGGGCAATCTGTTTGAGGGAACGCATAGTTTATTGTCTTCTCCTACTAAAAAAAAAAAAAAAAGAAAAGAAAAAAAAAGCCTAAAGAGTGTGTACTTTTTGGACAATGATGAAGTGGAGATAAATGACGTTTGAGTCAATCAACTGTGTAAAGCGCTGCAGTAATTTTAGTGTAATGGGGCCTAAAATGTCATGGTCATTTTTTTTTTTATTTGTTTTTTTCTTGCCGGGAAGTTTCAGAGTTGTAAAACGGATCAACGGTTTCACTAACTATAGGCAGATTTGTTGTCCGCTTGTAATTGTGTATCAATGAGGCATTCAAATGACTTTTAAAGCAACCTGATTGCTGCAGCTGCCAGTGCACGAGGGAGCCTGGATGCAATGAGCTGTTCGCTATTTCGTCACACATCTGTTGTCCCACTGCATCAAATGGTTTCGGCTGTGATGAGAGTCAAGTCCAAATAAAGTTAGGATTTAGTTGGGTCTGGATCCTAAAGGTGTTCCAGGGAACCCTTTGGCATCATCGCACCAATGGTCTTTGAAGAATCGGGCGCGGCAGTTGACAGTCACCAAAGAAAAATATGTTGAGGTCTTCAGTGCCTTCAAGAGTGAACTGCACAGCCGCTATCCGACGCCTGTGCTAAAGTTCTGGTTCCAGCAAGATAGACTCATCAGTATAAACCCACAAATATCCCAAATATGCACAAATATTGAAAAGAAATTGCTAAATAAGCGATTCCGCAGGTGCCGAATTGCTAATACAATCAGGGGTTGGCTGTAGTTTTAAGTTGTAATATCACCAATGGCCACCAGATGACAGACATGTTTTGGTTGTGCTTACGCTGCCCGAAACTACACTGGCAGTGAGCCTAATAATTTTTGCAGATTTCGCACGATATACAGGAGAAACATAGTTACTACTTCAATAATTAAAAAAAAATAGATTTGTGAGTTTATTTTTGCCAAAAATGTGCAAAATGAATTATTGCCCTTAATACTGGTTTGTTTTTTCTGCCGTTTGAAACTGTCCTTGATCGGAATTTTTATGCAAGACAGCCCTTTGCACTGGAAAAAAAAATACCATATGTGGTTATTTTGTTGTTTGGTTCTAACGCTGATATTGGAAAAATGTATTATTAAAAACTGAAATATATTTTGAGTGCATGTGGTGCAAATTTGCATGTATTTTGTCCATATTTAATTTTTTTGGTTGTCAATCTGGTTCGGAAGTGCCTGGTCTGATGTGCCCAACACACAACATTTAACCCTTTTGGGGACAGCGGTTACTACAGTGGACAGTTTATCATGTTATCAGGTTACAGGGTGCACGAAAGGGTTAAGTTTGCCATCCCTGAATTAGAATGTTGTGGAAGTGGACAGCTTATTTCAGTCGTTCAATTCCAAAACTGAAATTGACATTGGTCATAATTTTGAGTATTGTAGATCAGAGGTCCCCAACGTTTTTTGCCTCTGTTTGTGGTCGGACAATATTTTCAGGGACCGGCCTTTAAGGCCAGATAAATACGACAAAATAATATGATATGACCTGCATGAAAACTGTGGTATTTTTATAACATAATAATAAACACGAATCATGACATGAGAACGTCCAATCTGGTCGCAACACTCTCTGGTTGCTGTGGTAACGTTGAAACGTGCCTTCAAAATAAGATACACTGCACATACAAAGTGCATGAAAAATACGACTCACCATCGCCGCATCTTATGCAGAGTGGACTTGGTGCTTGGGAATCTCCCGTTGAGATAAATCCGTATTTTAAGTACTGTCTATTAAACGTAGCCTTCTATTTCTTGGAAGTCGTAGGCCCTTCTTCTGTCTCCTGGCTCGGCCTTTTCCCCTTCCCAAAGACCTTTATTTTTTACTCATTTTGCCAGCTCCTGGGTCTCATTTTAGCGATAACCTATCACGTGAATGACAAGCGCGCCTTCACCTGCGTCAAAAGTGATATATCGTAGACGGATGTAACAGAGAATCCAAAATGAATAAAACAGAAGTCATGTATCAAGTTATTTATTCTTTCTGTGCGGCCCGGTACCAAACGACCCACGGACCGGTACCGGTCCGCGGCCCGGGGATTGGTGACCGCTGTTAAAGGTTACAGCTATAACAAAAACCCAAATCCAAAATTTGAAGAAATAGCCAGAATTAAACAAGAATGTCTCTCTCTCTCTCTCTCTCTCTCTCTCTCTCTCTCTTTTCGAGTGGTGCAGAATTCCACCGCATCCTAACGGATGGTGCCTGAGTCACCCCCGCTTCATGACGGCGCAGACTCGGATGATTAAAGTGGTGTCGAGCGTCTCCTCACAATGGAGTCAAGCGCGCGTTCATTCTCATGAGAACGTGAATAGCAACCAGGAGCATTAGCGAACCTTTTTTGGATATGTCCAGGAATCAATCACAGCTAATGGATGAGGTTGTCTTAACATCTTGAAGTCCATATACAGTCAAAGATCCTCGTTGGTCCCAGATCTCTGTGGTATTATTGGACCTGGATCTTATTACATGCTGTTTTGTTTGAGATCATGCAAATGGTTGCATAGCTGGAGCGAAATCCCTTCAGCCAACACTGCCGTACATTTCGATTACCCGACCCCAAAAAAACAGGTTTAATAGTAATAAGGAAAACAACTCAAGGTTGGGTCTGTTTTCTTTTTCAGACGGACAACCGACACGGCGCTACTTCCGCTTTTTCCCAGCATTGGATTGAAACCATGCGACCAAATTTACTCTGATAAAACTTGATGAATGAATAACGACTAATTACAAAGTAGAGAAGCGTAGCTTTGACTACGTCAAATCTGCTTTATTGAGTTTGTTTTGGCATGCGGACACTGTTGACCTAAAAGATGGGTTTTCAGAAATAATCAGCATTCTCGTGTTGTCACTACATTGCAGTCTGAAATGTTTGTAGCCTCTCACTGTTTTTATTGTTGAAAAACCGGTGGCTTTTTTCGTGCCATTTAAATGCACTTTATTGACAAAAGATATCCCGCCACAGTGATGGACCAAGTTCTGCCCATAACACCACCTGTAGTTTCCAAAGGGCATGTGGAAAAATTTATGATTGGCGACGGTTTAAAAAACAAAAAAACAAACGAATTTGAAATTGGGATTTGCTGATGAAATGATGGCAGCTTTTTGTTCTGTTTTTCCAAGGTAGCAAACATGCAATTGAGTGTAAATACTCTCACCTTACTTGTACTTGTTTCCTCTGCTTCTTTCATTTTATTACCTTAGAAACACTGTAAGAGAGAAACAAGAGGTTAATATTGCTTGAATTGTAATTCTGGCCTTTTTTTTTTTTTTTTTTACACAGTACTCAAACAAATGAATTCATAAATTGCAAGGTTAAATGTTATGATCACGTCTCACTGGAGGCGCAGCTGTCCTAAAACAATGCCATTGTCATTATAGCCTCGACTCTGCCCTGTGTGAGGACATTTTTCCTCCGCCACACCAAGACACTACTTAAGTATCAAGTGTGTGATGAGGAAGTTGTGACTCTGCGTACCATATGTTTGTCTAGGTGTTGGCTTTGTTTGAGGAGGGGGAGGAGACAGCCACCGCCTTTGTTGAGCCTGTCGTCATCCTCCTTATCCTCATTGCGAATGCCGTCATTGGTGTCTGGCAGGTGAGATACGCTTCTTTTTTTTTTTTTTTTTTTTTTTTACCTAAAAGAGAAAAGAATGGCGACAGAGAACAGTGAAGTTAAACATTGTGCAGTGGACTCTTTTTCTTATTCATGCCTTCCAGCTATATTGGCGCCACGCGAAACTGTATCATCACATGCACATTGTGATGCAATTCGACGACTGAAACCAACATCAGGCCAAGTATTACACTTAACTTGGCAATAAATGGGAATATGAACAAACCCAAGAAGATATTGGCGCATAGCAAGAATGAACATATTGAGTCTGCGCAAACCCCAGTGAAGTTTTAACGGAAATAAAAACAGAATGCAAATATTTGCTTCATTTTTAAACTATGTTCAATTAAGTACAAAACAAAGACAAGGTATTGAATGTTCAAACTGATAAGCATTGTTTTTTTGGAAATATTTACTCATTTGGAATGTAATGCCTGCAACATGTTCCCAAGAAGATGGGAAAGGGGCATGTTCACTACTCTGCTACATCATATTTCCTTTTTACAATAGTCAATAAGCATTTGGGAGCTGAGCTTTATAGTTGGGATTCATTCCCATTCATACTGGATGTCCAATTCCAGTTGATCACCAATCTGGGGTCTCCATTCTTCTGTTTTGCACTTCATAATGTGCGACAAGTTTTCAATGGGAGACAGGTCTGGACTGCTGGCAGGCCAGTAGAGTAACGTGCACAATGTAGCTTGGCATTGTCTTCTGTAAAAAAGCTGTAACGTCTCTTAAAAACATGTTGCTTGGATGGCAACATGCCCTACTCACGAAAAGTTTGGGCTATTTGGCTTTCAGGTGAAATGTATGGAAAATGTAAAAAGTTGACGCTACTGTGATATCATATCATGAAAGCAGGACAAATTAAGTGTTGTGAATTTCTCCTCATTGGAAAACAGCAACTTGTGCAAAAAGTACTGAAACATTTCACACTTGGACATGTGCATTCAAAAGCTTTGATGTCACATTAAGTTCACATGTAAAAGTTTGAATGCATTTTAGGCTGCACCTGACTTTTCACCTGAAAATCAAATAACTTTATGTACCTTTAAATATCAATTTTGCATGTTAACATGCTATGGGAACTAACACACCCCGATATCATACATATACACGCCTGGCCGCGCAAACACATACACACAAATTTATGGCAGCAAATGATGTACTTGACTAAGTTTGGAAGTCTTGATATGAAAAAGCAAAATACTGTCCTGTTTCATGACATTGTTGAGTAAAAGTTATGACTTGAAGCATGTTGACATTTGTTCCGGTCCCGACCTGATGCACTGTTGAGTAAAAGCCATGACTTAAAGCATGTTGACATTTGTTCCGGTCCCGACCTGATGTCTTCTCTAACCTGACTCATCTCTTTTCAACAGGAACGTAATGCTGAGAACGCCATCGAGGCGCTGAAAGAGTACGAACCCGAGATGGGTAAGGTGTACCGCATGAACCGTAAGGCTGTGCAGAGAATCAAAGCCAGGGACATCGTTCCAGGAGACATCGTAGAGGTGGCGGGTAAGCCTACCAAACCCTTGGCGAAGCTTATTTACTCTTCCGTGTTGCTTTTTCTGAGGTGCAGGTGTGCTTTTGCTCTCAGCCGCTTGCACAGAAACATGTACTCCCGCACCCTTTGATGCCCATTCAAGAGTCTGGAACTATCGTTGGAATATCACACAAAACAAGATTACATAAGTCTTTCCCCCATATTCGCAGGTGCCAGAACTACCGTCCAGTTGTGTGTGTGTGTGTGTGTGTGTGTGTGTGTGTGTGGTTCGGTGTAAGTGGTTGTGGTCTTCCCTTGTGTTTAAGGCCCAGTTTAACTTTCCACAGCTTTCCACTTCCCTTTGCTTTCCATACTCTCAGTCTCACCACCTGGATGTTTGTCAGGTCTTCACTCCTACCATACACACACACACACACACACACACACACACACAGACACACAGACACTCATCTCCCGCTATAAACTCGCCCGTGTGTGGGCAACCTATCTAAATATAGTCGTGGTGTCATTGTGGTTTCAGCATACATGTACGGCAGACTTCATGTGCAAGCGCATGACCTCCGAGGATGAAGGTGGTCACTTGACCTTTGGCTCTCCCGCTTTTGGGAGCGTAGTCCATTGGCGTTGCATTTCCCTTTTTTTTGCTTGGTCTGGGAGTTTGGGCAGATTTGTGGGAGATCCATACATGAGTGAATCTAAAATACAAGAGGTCATCAGGTTTAACCCTTACATGCTGTTGGGAGAAATGTGATTCATTTTCCCCATTTGATAGCAATACAAGTACACTACATGTCATTATTTCACCGTGAAATGTGTTGACTTTTCTTAAAGTGACCTAAAATACTCCAAAAATGAAAATGCTAGCATCTTGTCATCCTTTTGTACCGGTTCGACAAAAATTATATAAACTGAGGCTGTGCCGAGTTAAATTTGTCCACAAAAATTGATTTGACATGTAGCAGCATGTTAAAAAAAAAAAAAAAAACGATGGCCATGGTTGTAATCTTAAAAAGTGAAACTGTACATTCCACAAATGTGCGCATGTTTTCTGGGACAGTGTTAGCGATGTTCAAGAGGGAGCTTGAAACAGTTGCGATAACTATCTGTGGTTCCATCACGTTTGCACAGCTTCCTGCAGAAACATGCACCTGTTGAAGGGTAATGAGGGGGATCTTTAAACAATGAAATAATAAAACAGCTATATGTATATATAATGTCAGAAAGGTTGCTATTATCCACCTATCCATCCGTGCGTTCCATTTTCAACACCACTTATCCTGAACAAGGTCACGGAGAGTTGCTGGAGCCTCTCCGAGCTGACTTTGGGCTTATACAACCTGTGTGGTTAAATGGGAACAATTATATGCCTCCCTTTTGAGTGTTTATGATTATGTCAGCGATAGTGCTTTGGAATTTGGGCTTGTTTCAGCCGGCGTGTTCCTTCGCACATGCGCGTGTATTCAGCAAGACTCACAGACAAGCTCACGCAGGTCGCAAAGCATCAAAAGTACTCTGCTCAATTCCCGCCTACCGCCAACCGCTACCCTCGTTGTAACTGTCAACACTGTACCGTCGTCATGACGACGACCCAGACTCACTTTTTGCTCACGCCTTTGTTATGAGAAACCTGGATGCTATTGTGGAGCTTTGAGCTGTGAGAGTGTTGTCATCGTTTTAGTTCCCTTATTAAGCCCAATGGAAAAGAGAGAAGTCAGGTTTCAGGGTTGAGAAATTACATTCGATTTTGCTGGCTTTTATTATAGACTGGGTACTCTGGCCAAAACTAAAAATAAAACACATGTTAGAATATATAAAGACTTGAAATTGTCCATAGGTGTGAATGTTTTTTTTTATTTGTCCTGGGTTTGGCTGGTGACCAGCATGTGCCCTGTCTCTTGCTCAAAACCGAGCTCACCCTGCAAACTGACCTGAATGACCACAAGCGGTATAGAAAATGAATGGCTCATGGACGGATGGATAATATAGTTCAAATTTCATTCTGAAAATATTTCAGACGAATGAATGAAAGAAGGCGGCCCGGTGGTTAGCGCGTTGACCTCACAGTGCAGAGGTACCGGGTTCAATTCCAACTCCGGCCTCCCTGTGTGGAGTTTGCATGTTCTCCCCGTGCCTGCGTGGGTTTTCTCCGGGTACTCCAGTTTCTTCCCACATTCCAACAAAACATGCATGACAGGCTGATTGAACACTCTAAATTGCCCCCAGGTGTAAGTGTGAGCGCGAATGGTTGTTTGTCTCTGTGTGCCCTGCGATTGGCTGGCAACCGGTTCAGGGTGTCACCTACCTATTGCCCGAAGACGGCTGTAAAAGGCTCCAGCACACCCGCGACCCTTGTGACGATATGTAAATTCAAAAATGAATGGATGTTCAATTGAATAAATTCTTCCCCATTGAGAAACCAAATCAAATCACTTCTCGAGAATTTCTTTGTGGGTTCATCATGTGGTGGCAAACAGAAATGCATTTTGTGTTTAATTGCCTGTGTGCTGGATATTCGCTCTCAGGAAGATAGCCGAGCACTTCATTCTGCCCAAAAGTCCCATACGAAAACCATCTCACACAAACAGTGCTACATGGGTACACTGACAAAGAAAATAAATCTGCATCATTGAACTTACTTCATTAAACTCCCAGTTTTTTTTTTTCCTCTACCTCAGATTACCCGGAGGTGGTTCCACTGGAACTTGATGTGAGGAGGGTAAAGTAAACTGTATGGAGGTATTGGAAAAGGACACCATTTGACCACAAATGCCTCAGAACAGAAAAAAATATATAATAAATATATTTACATAAGGTTCCACCCCTGCAGTGTACTTGCCCTCTCGTAGGTACTTCGCTGGCGACGCTGACCGCCGTTATGACACGCTTGCCTTTTTGCGCCTCCGTCGGAACTTTCCTTGAGGTTTTTAATGGAGTGAGTGCGGCGGTCTCGGTGTCAGGATTGTGTGAGGGTTTACAGAAGACCTGAAGAGATGGAAACCTGCGCTGCGCTTCTCCCATTAAACGAGTCGCGTTTACTCTGCCCAGTTTCTTATGCAAGAGTGAGATTCTGACTGTGGGGTTGTGTCAAAAGCAGACGGCAAACTGAGCCAGCTGAACTTCGAATTTGTTCTGAGAAGACACTCTCAATGGACACTTTATTAGGCACACTGGCTAATCTCATAAAAGCACAGGTGTCAAAGAAAAGGCCCGGGGGCCGGATCTGGACCCCCATATAATTTTCTGTGGTCCGCGAAAGCGAATCAAGCACGTCAAGTTCCACGATGCTTGCTAAAGTCTGAACCAAAATTTCAAATTGTCATATGTAATCCACAATAACAGTCCTTATTCTTGACTTCTGGTTTTAAAACTAGTTATTCATCAATTTGTTGTGTGCCTGTGTATGTAATATGTGGAGCAGATGAAACTTTATATGGTTTCCCCAAATTCATTACGCCCTCCAAGGGAAACCGTAACTACAATGTGGCCCGCGACAAAAATGAATTTGACACCCCTGCATTAAAGCAATATAAGAGCTGTCTGCATACCCGTACCAACCAGCACGAATCGTATCGTGAGAGTGTCGTACATTTTGTGACAGCCAATCGACATGTTATGTTTGTGATTCAACTGTATCAGAGAGATTATTTCCAAAGGTAGATTTCAGAAAGGGAAAGTGTCTGATGGAGGCAAGGGAATCTGAAGGTAGGCGTTCTCTCTCCTGCCCTCGGCCATTGCGGCCTTGGCCAACTTGAAGCCTGCAGCCGTCTCCCACGCAAACGCAACCCACGTTGCACCCGACACCCTGTCTCCATCTCCCATAGGTGCTACACAGAGAGGCCGGCAGCTCAATGAAGTCCACGTTGTGATAAATGCAATGGCGGCTCATGAGATGATTTCTTTCAAAAAAAATGACGTCGGTCATACATTTGTAAAATGCATGATTCTTTTTAATGGAGTTTTTCATTTCAGTTGGTGACAAAGTTCCAGCCGACATCAGGTTGACCTCTGTTAAGTCTACCACCTTGAGAGTGGACCAATCCATCCTCACAGGTACTCTCAACAGTCTCTTTATTCAAATTTGATTTGTATGGATAGATTTGTGTGTTTTTGACTGTAAAATTAGAACTGGAATTTGCCCATTAGGCACAATCAAACACTCCTTCCTCATCATCCACCGAATCGAATCCATTGTCGGAATTAAAACAATTATTCTGACGCCATCTTTTCTACAGGGGAGTCTGTGTCCATCATCAAACACACTGACCCAGTTCCTGACCCCAGAGCTGTCAATCAAGACAAGAAGAACATGTTGTTTTCTGTGAGCGTAACCTCAGCATTATTTACGTTGTCATTTATGCCTCTCATCTCAACTTTAAGTCTATGTGTTCATGTCGAAAATAAAACAAATGGATAATTGATACTAGATTTATTAGCCCCAAAATATATAAATGATTCCAATTTGGAGCTGATTGCTCAATTATTTATGTTGTCATTTATGCCTCTCATCTCAACTTTAAATCTGTGTTCATGTCGAAAATAACAAAACAAATGGATAATTGATACTAGATTTATTAGCCCCAAAATATATAAATGATTCCAATTTGGAGCTGATTGCTCAAAAGTGAACAGAAAAGACAGATTGAAGACTGACATCTGCATCCGTCGTTTGGCGGGGGCTCTCTTTCTCAGACAGTCAACAAAGCTGCTTGAACTAACAACACCAAGTTAAAGTTGTACTTAAAGTGATGCTAATTGCTCCTCAAGTGGGATAAAGACTTGACATGTAAAAATCCACTCTGAGCTATTCATTACACTCGTGTTCAACAAGCAGCAACTTGTAGAAAAAGTGTTGTTTCCAACACGTCCGTGGTGAATCTGACGCTTCCCTGTGTGGCTCAGCGGATCGTTTTCCTCGAGCACAAGTCTGAATTTCATTCTTCTCTAATGTGAGGCACACTGGGTTTTTTCCCCCCTCCTCCAGTCTTCCATGAGGTTAAGTGTATTTGGACTGCAATAGCACAATGAGCTCTAGTGTGTACACAACTTGACTCTTTACTATTTCGAATGCATGTTCTGTTATAATCTATCCATTTTCTATGATACTATTAATAGTAACTCTGGTTAGGTGTTGGCGAATGTGATTTTATCTTGTGGTAATGGGTACACTTGACCAGTGTTGCCATAGGTACCTTGAAAAAGTATCTACCGTATTTTCCGCACTATCAGGCGCTTCGGAGTATAAGGCGCACCTTCAATGAATGGCTTATTTTAAAACTGTTTTCATATATAGGGCACACCGCATTATAAGGCGCATAGAATAGACGCGACAATAGTGACTGCGGTTGCTTTATATATCCACAAGATGGAGCTACGCTAAAGGGAATACAATACAATACAGCGTTATTTATATAGCGCTTTCACAACCGCCACAGCTGTACCAAAGCGCTTTCCAGAACGTCCAAGAAATCAGAATATTGATCGGTAAATAAGGCGCATCGGCTTATAAAGGCGAACTGTCGGCTTTTGAGAAAATTGAATGCTTTTGGGTGCGCCTTATAGTGCAGAAAATACGGTCGTTAACTTGATGATCACTTGATTTTAAATTAACTTAGGGGAGTTACTTTTAGCCAACGCGACAATTCCGAAGAAACCAGTATTCCATCAGCGACTCGAGAATAAAGCCAAATGCACCAAAATAAACATGTTTGTCTGGTGATTTAAAAATAATCCGTGCATGATTATGAGTCAGGACTCTACGTAAATACCTTGCCTGACTGAGTGATGTATTAAAATGTGTGGTGGGGCGTCAACCTTTCACCTACAACCATCTCATTTTCCGCAGGGCACCAACATCGCTGCGGGCCGGGCTATAGGCGTCGTCGTGGCGACCGGAGTTGCCACCGAAATCGGCAAAATCCGCAATCAGATGGCGTCAACAGAACAAGAAAAGACGCCGCTGCAGCAGAAGTTGGATGAGTTCGGCGAGCAGCTCTCCAAGGTCATCTCCCTCATTTGCGTGGCTGTGTGGGTAATCAATATCGGTCACTTCGGGGACCCCGTCCACGGTGGCTCCTGGATGCGGGGAGCTATCTATTACTTTAAGATAGCAGTGGCCTTGGCTGTGGCTGCCATCCCCGAAGGCCTGCCTGCCGTCATCACCACTTGCCTGGCCCTCGGAACCCGTCGCATGGCCAAGAAGAACGCCATCGTGCGGAGTCTGCCCTCGGTGGAGACCCTCGGCTGCACCTCTGTTATCTGCTCTGACAAGACGGGGACCCTCACCACCAACCAAATGTCCGTCTGTAGAGTAAGTTACGATTCCACTTATTGTAATTACACCCCCCAAATCTGCTTTTGGTTGATTTGGGGGTTTGCCACTCTAGACCTGGAGTGTTAAACTCATTTTCAGGGGCCACGTCATAGTTGTGGTTCCACACAGACTGCTGTTCTGCCCTTCACAGGCATGGTTATTGCATTTATTTTTACCTAGACCTTGAATTTGAAATTAGACGTCCCGGAAAACGTGACAACCAATTATTTAAGTGTGTAATTATTCTTCAATTCATGTTACACACCCAACATGGCATTTGGTTTGATCTGATTCATGTTCTCCAATTCAACATAGACAGTCAGACAATTTAAGAGAGAAGGAACAGTTTGCTCAGAAATCATTTGGGGGGGAATTCTAAATTATTCATACCAGTGGCCAGAGTTCCTTATTCTTCTTTTGCTGTGTGCTTTATCTTTATTTATTTTCTGGGAGACATGCATATTACAGACAATGGCCGCGTTTATATTCGTTTTGGGATTGTAGGAGACAACCTCTGGTGGTACTGCACACTGTTGCCATGACTCAGCCGATCCCACAACACTGTACACATCGATCTCATCAGTTTACCAAAAATCACTTTATCCACTGCATTGGAGACTTAGCCTCACCTTGAACTGCAACATCTGGTGCTTCGCTAGCCCCCCCTATGCAAAACCATTCATTTCGTTTCCACAGAGTACATGTCAGTGGTGGTTGTCTTAAGTTGAGTAACATTGAGATTTTGCAAAGCAAAAAAAGGGATTAGCAGCTTTGGCTTAAGTTATTCAAAAGCATATTTATTTATATTATTATTATTTATTTTTTTCGTGGGTGTTGAAACCCTCCATAGCCCACCAGACAAATACCCCCACTCACAAGATGACGTGGCATGCCGTGTGTGTGTGTGTGTGTGTGTGTGTGTGTGTGTGTGTGTGTGTGTGTGTGTGAGAGAGTGTGAATAATGTGTAGCTGCAGGGAGTTCCCTCAAACTTGGCGGATGTGTAGGAGTGACCTCACCGCAAACCTTTAAACCCTCCCAGGCACAGGAAGACTAAGCCCAGCTGACGTTGGCAAATATTGACCCGCATCCACCTAAAGGGGAGGACCTGACAGGGAATAAGGCTGCACGCTCATATACCGTCTCCCCCACAATATGAGGAACAACTGCAGTTCTGCAAAAAAATATATATATATTCTGATGCGAAGTATGTTGAGGCTCTGATCGAGTTAAATAATGTCACAAAATATTCGGAACAGCTCCCAGTATGATGCAGGGCAGTTCGACAACACTGTGAAAAGTTAAAAGTATTATGACATCCTCAAGGCATGAGCGCAAGAAGAGTTCTCTTCACCTGGTAGTCACTTGAATTGTTACTAAGGAGTCTGCAAAAGCCATGAAAGCGTTTTCCAAGAAACTTTATGAAGGGGAATATGATTTTGAAAAATAATTGAATTCTTCTTTTTTTCTCCTCAATATTATGAATTAAGATGGGGTTAATTTTGCCATCTTTAAAATGATCTCACCCTTTCTCATCACAGTAGGACCATTTTTTTTCAGATCCATCGTTTTCTGATCCGTATCCCAAACTCCCTTTTCCCTTTGAGCACATGCAAACCCGAATAGTGGCTACTCGGCCGTCATCCCCACGCAAGCTGAGATAGTGAGGAGATGAATCCGATCCTGTGCCACTATGACTGAGTCACATTGATCACACTGTGCCTTGTTACCGTGGAGACCATGGCAGATCAGATAGTGAGGAAAAAGTGGACGGAGGAGCAATCTTATTATATTTCTCAGTCGCTGCTTTGGCTGCACTGGGTGTTCTCTTGTGGAAGTCATCGGGGTCCCCAAATAGCCAGTTGTTGATTTGTTCGCGAGTTATGGAACTGGGCCTCATAAACCTTTTGTCTGCCGCTTTTAGTTGACCAGACGACTAAGGTGCAATGAGGTCGTTTCTTTTAACATTGAGCCTCTCTCTCCTGTGTCAGGACGACCCATAGATCCTCTTGCAATAACATTTCAAAGTCATGAAACTTGGACACAGACATTCATGCCTTCATTGGAACATTTCCACGGTCACCTCCTGACTTTTCCTCCTTGGATAAATGGATACAAATGATTACTTTATAGTGTTTTTTTCCCCCCCTTTTCCAGTAAAATGCAATGCAACAGTCTGCAGGATAGGATGAGACTGTCTTGATCATGCATTTAAATCAGAGCTTCCGTCGAATGAGTGATACTCTCAACTCCCCATCTCCAATGTTTGTTGCTGCTACGAGCAGTGGTGGAGCTACAGGGTGCCCAGGGGTGGCCAAGGCCACCCGTCGTCACTCTGTAACCAACCCCCCTGGCTACCCTCATACCTCGAGGAAAATGTTAATATCTGATTTTTCTGCCATTTTTACATGAATGCAGTAGCCTATTGTTCGACCCCTTGATACTCCGCTACATCTTTTTTTTTTTTTTTTAACGGTAAATTTAAATAATAAAATAAATCATCCGAATGCAAACTCTACAAAAATCTCTTGTCAAGAATATTCAATTGTGAGACCCCTTGATACTCCGCTACATCTTTTTTTTTAACTGTGTATTTAAATAATAAAATAAATAATCCGAATGCAAGCTCTACAAAAATCTCTTGTCAAGAATATTCAATTGTTACAGTCAATGTCAATCAAAATCATCAATTCACACCACAGCAAGCAAACAACATGGCCGAGAAGGATTTGTTTATCGTACCATCCACAATCATGGGGTCATGAAATGAAATGCACACTGATGAAGACTCAAGCTTTGGCCACCAATCAGTGAAGCATGCGGTCCATTTATTATTAAGTGCAAAATACATTTTTAGCTTCATCCTGCAGTCTATTGACATTTTTTTCATAATCTCAAACAGTTTCAAACATGTTTTCCAGCTTGTGTGTGTGTATGCCTGTGTGCTTGTATCTATGGATTATGCAATCCGTTTTTTTAAAGAGAAGAGACCGTAATGTTTTCTTGTTCAGTTGATATATTTAATCCACACAAATCTTCTTGTGTATACAACCATACTTGTATTACACATGCGGTGCATCCCGTTGTTTTTCCTGTCACCTGCGAGGGTTCAGTTCGCGTTTAGTGCCCCAATGCGTGCCAATCAATCTACTTAAAGATGGTTTTAGGGAGTTTGAGGATTCAAGAAAGTTAGAAACGTAACAAAGGCAAGAGCCTTCAAGTGTCCTATTTTCCTTGACTTGATTTATGTTGCACAAAAGTGTGAGTGTGTGTGGGGGGTGGGGGTGGGGGGGTGAGTTAGTGAGTGAGTGACTGACTGATGAGGCATAACATGATGTGTGACTCCCCCGCTTGTTTGGAAATTGGCAGAGGGTGGAAATCAAAGATGTGAGTAAAGGATTTTTGGGGCCTTCTCCAACAGCAATCAGTCATCCGCAGCGGTGATGTCACACGGCGGACACACTGCAATCGGCTCGCTGGTTTTGAATTGAAAAAGACAAGCGAGGCCAGGTTTTCGGATTCTCAGTGGGCAGCCGTTTAGAATTAAGGAGCGGTTGTTTGAGCGCCGCAATTGGCTAGATCTGCGCAAGCTGTCTTCAAGACCGTGGAATCTGTCATGTCAAAAACTATCCGTTCCTGGACAATGTGTGTGTTTTTTTTCTTCCCCATGGAAAGTAATATAAATGAAAGAAAATCGGTCAAACTGTGAGTGCAAATGGTTGTTTGCAGACATGTGCTCTGCGATTGGCTGGCGACCAATCAGTCTTGGTTTCCAAAAGTCTCCTGTGATAGGCTGTAGCTCACCGCCGGCAACCCTAAAAAGCACACGTGACATAGAAATTGAACGGGCTGATGGATTTGTGTGTCACAAAGTGACAGAAAATTTTGCTTGAAAGAAAGTCACTTTAGTATCCATCTTCCATGCAAATGTATTCCATTTTTTTTTTTTATGTGAAATTGAATTTGCGCACCTTCACTCTCACATAGACAAAGTAAAATGACTTCTTTTGCACTTCGAATTAGATCAATTACATGACAGTTCGTAACTAATCTCGGCTAAGAATAGAAGCGACATGTTTTCGCACGAACACATGAACTGTGGCTGCGCAGCTATTGTTTTTGTTTTTTCCCCTCTCCAGATGTTCGTGGCGGACAAAGTGCAGAATTCCAGCTGCACCTTGCATGAGTTCTCGATAACAGGATCCACATATGCACCTGAAGGGGAAATGTAAGTTTCATATCTTAAACTTAAAAAGAAAAAAAAAAGGAAAAAAGAGTTCTTCTGCAATAATTCAATTGTGTAGAGTGCATGTCTTTTATCTCGTTATTTCATATCGTGCTTAAAAATGAAAAATTATGATAGCGTCCTGTCCAAAAAAAACTAAGCGATGTTGAAACTGAACGACGGGGCGTTTTTAAGTGTGTCTGCATGTTGTTTGTTTAGCTGCACAGTTAAGAATGTGATTCCACGTCAACCTGTGGCTTTCATAACAGCACAGCGTGGGTTATTGTGTGGGAGCTTTGCTAGCAACGGCTGCGTTCTCTGCTGGGAAGCGGCGCGACGCAAGTCGTCAGGCCACCGGCGCCGTGGATCTTGAGAACGCACGCCGTCCCGCAAATTCCACACCGGCACTGAAACCGTGTTTACATGACAATACCGTATTTTCCGGACGATAAGTCGCAGTTTTTTTGTAGTTTGGCTGGGGGTGCGACTTGTACTCTGGAGCGATTTATGGATGAAATTATTAACACATTATTATATAATTTCACATGTTATATTCACATTAAACCACAAGAGGCCGCTCTAGACCTGTGTTGTTAAAACCACGATGAGTCTGATGTACACGACGTCGAAGAGGAAGCGCTGTATCTTCTACCTCCGGAGTTGGTGGAGTTGCTTTAAAGTGACACAGAGGATGAAGATTCCATTGGATTTAGTGATTTGGAGTGACATTGATGGTTTGGTGAACTTGTTAGCATGTTCTTTATGCGGTAGTTATCTGAAGAACTCTTAATATGTTACTTGAACATACCAAACGTTCTCAGTTCGTCGTTTATGCGTCATGTAACGTTAGCATATTGTACATTTATTCTGCGTGTTTTCTATTTATTTATTTTTTTTAATTGCCTCAAGATGACGTGTCTGTTCTTGGGGTTGGATTTTATCACATAAATTTCCCCCCAAAATACGACTTATACTCCCGTGCGACTTATGTATGTTTTTTTTTGTTCTTTATTATGCATTTTATGGCTGGTGCGACTTATACTCAGGAGCGATTTATAGTCCAGAAAATACGGTAGTTTCTCATCTCAACCCTGGTATGCTAAACAGCCTCCTCATGTCATGAATTTTCATGAGCGCCCGATGTGTGGTGAACTGTAAAATGTTTCCCCCTTGTGTTGAAAAATTTTAGCGTCTGTTGGTCTGTTTTTTTTTTCTCTCTCCAGACTGAAAGGAGACCGGTCAGTCCAGTGTGGAGACTATGATGGACTTTTGGAGTTGGCCACTGTGTGTTCCATGTGCAATGACTCTTCATTGGATTACAATGAGGTCATTAAAAGCGCACACACACACACACACACACACACACACACACACACACACACACTCACACACACACACACACAGCAGTACTAAATATAGTTCTGTTGCTATACAACTAAGCAACATTGCGTCGTTTTGGTGAGTGTCCTTTTTTTGTTCGAAGAGCTCGTTTTAGCCCAATCTTGAGCGAAAATTCTTGGAATTGCTTTTCTCACCTCTTTGTCATGGCCACAGTATCTTAGTAACCAGACTGAAGAGAGAGGCCGGGGATAACACAACTTAAATTGCATGTATCCTCCCTGGCCTAACTGATCCGCGGCTGTTTTGCCGCCACTTTAATATGTTTTTAGGTGATGAAATACCTGAGTGGGAGCCCAAGCAGAAAAGAGGAGCAGCTGAGCACCAGAGAGGGGGGGAGGAGGGGGTGGACGAGGAGTTTTATTGTTTTGTGCTGTCACACAAACAAATGATTGGCCATTAGTGCGTCCTCTGCCCTACTTCACTTTTCAGCACCTTTTAAAGAGACTTCACGAGTATGACTCACCACCGGGGTGGGTTTCCAGCAGATCTAAATATTGCCCTTGACAGAATGTCGAGAGCAAAGGGAAATGAGTGACTTGTTGAGTATCCTGCTTTTAGCCCGTGTAATTGAGAATGACGCCTTTGCGAAGGTCATTGTGACCAAAGAAATACATTTTTGAACAACACCATTGCAGCGGTGCAGCAATTTAGTAACTCGAGTTTAAATTGTCGGCATTTTCATCCTGTGTGCTTCCAATAAATTTAACGTGCTTTGTTAAGAGTGCAGAAAATATGACAAAGTGGAATGAATACATCTGAGCTTTCGGGTTGCTAAGCCATACAATGTTAATTAAACATGCTGTGCCATGAAATTTGTACGCTACAAGAATACAGACAATAAATTCTTTTGATTTGAACGACTATCCACCGTTTTATATAATTTAAAAAAACAATTCCCTTCTTTTTCTTCATGAAAGGTCTTTTGACATTCTTTGGTCAAAGAATAAAAGCACTTTCAGCATCCGTCTGTCACATGAGTTCAAATCACGTTGCTTTGGGAGGGGCAGCTCTTTCTCATGCAAGTGTACTCAGGCTTTTGTTTCCATTTTTCACACTCTTTGGAAAAGAGTAACCAATCTAGCATTTAATAATTTGGTGGCTGAAAAAAAGATCAAACTGCTGGAATCACATAAACGTATCGGTGCAGTTGATGTAACGTAATTTTGGCGAGTTTGATTCGGGGCGGAGACATATCCTGGACTCTGTGGACATGTTGTGGGGCATGTTATCGTATTTCATTCATAAATATAACAACAACGTATATCGAACCCTTTGAATCATTGCAGACTTTAAAGAGAATGAAAGGAGCCAAATCAAGTTGGCTGTGCTCACACCCACAACGGCACAGAGCGCCTGCTTTAAATTGCGCCAAGCCGTGCGCCTCTGCGAAAACACCCACAAAACAAAGTTCAGCCCACCCCTGCGCAGGTTTTAAACCACGTTTCACACCAGACCCGCATTGGTCACAAAAACGGTCAACTATTTCTCATCCCGTTACCGAGGATGCACTTTTGTAATGCAATACAAAATCGATGTTGTCTCTTAAAGGACATCTGCTTCCTCTTGCTAAGCTAATAACATCCTATAAATTAGCCCGTGTTTTACCGTGACACAATTTACCAAACAAATGGTGATTTGCGTTTCATATTTTCATTGACTGATTAGTGTCATAACAAATGCTTGTTAATGTTTCTCTCAGGCCAAAGGCGTGTACGAGAAAGTGGGGGAAGCCACAGAGACGGCTCTTACCACCTTGGTGGAGAAGATGAATGTCTTCAAAACGGACCTTTCCGGACTCAGCAAGGTGGAGCGTGCTGGGGCCTGCAACTCGGTGAGCCTCATGAAAGAGTGCAATTGTGCAAACATCATTGGCAGTACAAGCTTTGTGGTTTTAACAACACTCTTATCAAAGTCATTTTGACATTTTAAACTGTAAATGCGACAGATCGAAGTGAGAAAACAAAATCAGCAGTGATTATTCAATTCAACAGCCGGATTGCCATAAAGAATCGTCCAAATTCTAATACGCCGCTCCTCACGAGGGTCGCAGGCGTGCTGGAGCCCATCCCAGCTGTCTCCGGTGAAATAAAAAGGGTCAAAGGTCATTTGTCAGTGTCTTAACCCTCTTTTACATTGCAAGGCCGCCAAACGGCCTCGTCAGAGCGGAACAAAACATTTGGCAGCAAAAAGGATTTGTTTTTACAACCGAACAAAGAAATCAAGTTGATAAAAAAATCTATTTTCGTGCCGAAATCGTGTGTGCATTTATATAGCGAGATGATGAGTGATAATGTCAGCGCAAATATCTTGTGTAACTTCAAATACTTGGCGCACACGCGGCATTACACAACAGGCAAGGCGACTCCAATGTGAAACTATCCCACGTTCTCCGGCATTCACAGTTTACAGGTGACTTAGAGCTCTGATATTCCCTCTGAAGATGTTTCTGGCCATTTCATGTTTCGTTTGTGCAGGACGGGGTGTGTAGAAGTGAAAACTATCAAACTTGTTTCATATTGCCTAATCAATCATCATTTATAAAGTCGACTCTGACTGAGAAGGACATCTAGTGGTCGAACCAGACCTGATGCAGAGTACAAGAAAATGATGATGACGCTGTTCGTGACGTTTCTTCAACATGTTGTTTGCACTTGGTATTTGCTAACGTGACGAATGTGGTCATGCCTTCGTGATGTTGGTATTTGTTCGAAAGCTGCCTCCTTTGACTGAATCAAACCCTCCAGCTGCCCCCCCGCACCCCCAAAAAAAACCTCCATGACACTAGCCATGATCTTCCCATGCTTTTTTATTTATTCCTGGGTAATCTGACTTCCTTCCAAATTGCAAAGATATTCACGTGAGGTTCTTTAAACATTTTAAATTGTCAATAGGTGTGTAGGTAAGAAAATGGAAATAATCTATTGATCCCTGCCCAGGTCTGAAGCCAACGTCTGTTTGGCTCCCTTCATAATCTTTATAGTTTTTTTTTTTTTTAATTGCCGTTGTTCCATGTCGCCCTTCAGGTGATCAGGCAACTGATGAAGAAGGAGTTCACCTTGGAATTCTCTCGCGATCGCAAGTCCATGTCGGTCTACTGCACGCCGGTCAAGCCCGGCTCTCAGAGCAAGATGTTTATCAAGGCACGGGAGAATCGTACAATTCAAGAATTTCTTTTTCCTTTCTATCACATTCTAATGTTTCTTTTTGCCTGTATAGTCAGTTGTAGTCTTTTTCAACAGGGTGCTCCAGAGAGCGTGATCGAGCGATGTCAATACATGCGTCTGGGAACCGGGAAGGTGGCACTGACACCGGCCTTGCGCGAGCAGCTCATGTCCAAGGTCCGTGACTGGGGAACGGGGCGGGACACCCTGCGCTGCTTGGCTCTGGCCACCCGTGACAACCCCCCACGCAAGGAGGACATGGACTTGGAGAATTCCAGCAAGTTTGTGGACTATGAGGTACGTTGTGATAAAAACTAGACAAAACATGGGTAACTTTTCTTGAGCTGAAATTAGATTTACTGTATTAACTCATTCACTCCCAAAGACGTTTTTAAACGTCTTTTCAGACTTGGTTCAGAATTGGCTGGTACTGAATGAGTTTTTAATATGAAAACTTTTTTTTTTTTTGCCCCACCTCGTCATGTTTCACTTGACTTGCTGCTAGGCGGAGTCATAACTGCCCATATGCAAATGAAAACGTTTGCGAGCTGACATCACCACATCTTGAAACTAATACTCTTTTTTTTTTTTCCCTCCTTGTTTCGTTTTAGTTGAGCCTCACATTCATCGGCTGTGTGGGCATGCTGGACCCGCCGAGAAACGAGGTGATAGGCTCGGTGAAACTCTGCAACGAAGCAGGTATTCGTGTGATCATGATCACGGGGGACAACAAGGGCACAGCGGTGGCCATCTGCAGGCGCATCGGCATCTTCGGCGAGAAGGAGGACGTGGCGGGAAAGGCCTACACCGGCCGCGAGTTTGATGATCTTTCACCGGAAGCCCAGAAAGAGGCTGTGAAACACGCACGATGTTTCGCACGGGTGGAGCCGGCTCACAAGTCCAAGATTGTTAGCTACCTGCAGTCCTTCGAGGAAATCACCGCCATGGTGAGCCTAAAGAAGAATCATTGAATCATTTTTTTCCAGGTGATGTCTGGCTCAGCTCAAGTATTTCTTCTGGCAAAAGTTGTGAAAACGGAAACATGATGGGTTTGTCCGACTTTTGGTAGCCTGCTGCTATTGTAGCATCCACAATGTTATGGTGCCATCCTTGGGGAGTAACACGTATTAAAAAGTAACACATACACTATAATAGGGACTTTTTCTGTATGATAATGAATTCATTGTCATATCATTTTTTTTTTTTTTTTTTTTTAAATAAAACACCGTCCAATGCCGTAAGACTATGTAATAACGCGGCTTGTTGACAGCCGTAATTAGTTTTTCATGTCATTATTTTATTCTGGCCTAGTCGTGTTTTTCATCCAAATTCATTCATTCATTCATTTTCCGATCCGCTCGTCCTCACAAGGGTCGCGGTGGGGGGGGTACTGGAGCCTATCCCAGCCATCTTGGGCAGTAGGCGGGGGACGCCGTGAACCGGTTGCCAGCCAATCGCAGTGCACACAGAGACAAACAACCATCCGCGCTCACATTCACACCTAGGGACAATTTGGAACAATTCAATCAGCCTGCCATGCATGTTTTTGGAATGTGGGAGGAAACCAGAATACCTGGAGAAAACCCACGAAGGCCCGGGGAGAACATGCAAACTCCACACAGGGAGGCCAGAGTTGGAATTGAACCCAATACCTCTGCACTGTGAGGCCGACGCGCTAACCACTGGACCACCTGGCCGCCCCTTCATACAAATGTTTACTGTAATTCGAATTACAGCATTCGCGCTCAAGATTTTGATAGACCATGGTGGACACAACCGACTCAAATCCATCAAACTTGTTTCGGTCTTGAATTAAACAGACCTCGACAAGAAAGATCACAAAATGCTGGAGGATGTCCATTGTTGATATTTGATTTGCTGTGTCACATTTCTCTTGCTCTTGTCATGCTAGGATGATGTCACTGTTTACAGAAGCTGCTATCCCGCCTGCATTCCACTTTATCTGATATATGCTGCATTTATCTGATAGTTCTACTATGTATGGTATGTCTCCCTTGCCTGTTACCGGGTTTGAACATGCGATTCATCCTTCCTTTCAAAATATATCAAAGGATAACGGGCATGTTTCAGTCCTCCCCTGCAGCTGCTGTCTTCTATCAGACACTGTCATCTTTTACGCGCTCTGCTGCTTCCTCTCTGTCTCGGCAGCAGTATGATGCATTGTAGTTTGCGCTACGGGCCACCTCTCCCTGCTGCTTCCTCAATGATTGTTAAATCAACGCTTTTTCTCATCACAGACTGGAGATGGCGTGAACGATGCCCCCGCCCTGAAGAAAGCAGAGATCGGCATCGCAATGGGCTCGGGTACAGCGGTGGCCAAATCAGCCTCCGAGATGGTACTCTCTGATGATAATTTCTCCACCATTGTGTCTGCTGTGGAGGAGGGCCGGGCCATCTACAACAACATGAAGCAGTTCATCAGATACCTCATTTCCTCCAACGTGGGCGAAGTCGTGTGGTGAGGAAGAGCGACGCGCTGAGATACCGCAGTCATTTTTCATTCGTCTCAATGTTTATGTCCGTTCCCCTGCAGCATCTTCTTAACCGCCATTCTGGGTCTCCCTGAGGCTCTGATACCAGTCCAGTTGTTGTGGGTCAATCTGGTGACCGATGGTCTGCCCGCCACCGCCCTGGGCTTTAACCCCCCTGACCTGGACATCATGGACAAACCTCCACGTAATCCCAAAGAACCTCTCATCTCAGGATGGCTTTTCTTCCGCTACTTGGCCATTGGAGGTACTTACTGAAATCGTTGTGCATCACTTGCCTTTCATCCACAGCTTGCTTTAAAAGAAACATGTTTGTTTTTTTTTTGTTGTTGTTTTTTTTTTTTTAAATTTAACGCAGTTCCCAAATGTATGCGGCGATATTTTTTTCAAAATGCACCAAGCACAGTTTATACAGCATTATTCTCACCTTGCTGATATCAACCAGTTTTAGAGGCGCGTTATCTCATTTAAATGAGCCAGCCTTAATCCCCGCCCTGTTTTCTGCTGGGCCAAATGCAAGTCTGGCGTTTATTGCAATGAAGTGCAACCCATGTGCAAAGAAGTGTCCCGAATAGCTATGAAAAGATTTTAACTTGTGGTGTCAGCAGTTCATAAACAAGACTGTGTATGAACACAGGGACACGCTGGCAAACATGGAAACCCTCTCCTGCGTTTTCTTTATAAAACGGAACCCCTGTAACGCTGTGTAAACGTAAAATTTGCATATGAATTTTTCAAGACTGGAGTCGTAACAACTGCTGTACATTTTTTGTCTGTCTTAGGCTATGTGGGTCTGGGGACCGTGAGTGCCGCCACTTGGTGGTACCTGTTTGATGAAGAAGGGCCACAAGTGTCTTTTTATCAGCTGGTGAGTCCCAAACTGATTCTCTCTCCACAATGTTTTCAATGTAGTGGACAGATTCCCCCGTTCTGTACTGTCAGGTGGCATAGCATGAGCTTCCAAAGCCCAGGGCTAGTCAAGCAATCACACTCTCAACAGGCAGTCCTGTAGGGAGTTTGCTTTGTCTCTCTCGGGCTGCTCTCGAAGGCAATCCAGAAGTTTCAACCAAAACAAGGATGAATTGGCAGGTGTAACAATTCCGTACTCTTTTTAAAAAACAACAACTTTTTTTTCTTACCCTTTCAGGGACAGCGGTGACGACAGTGGACAGTTTATCATGTTCTCAGGTTACAGGGTGCATGAAAGGGTTAATGCAAGAAGCGTACCGCTGGCAAAAAAAGCTGAAATATCACATCACTTTTCACAGAATTATTTATAAGAGTTCATAAAACCTTTGTCATTTAAAACATGGACTTCATGACATTTCCTGGTATATCGTTTAGTGTGGCAGCAATGCGCTTCCATATGTAGCCATGGAGGCTTCCAGGCCCCTCCTGTTGATCGGTGAAGAGCTCTGCTACCTTATGAGGGTTGAATCCTTTCTTTGGTCGCTACAAACCCATTTCAGAAGACTTCAGTACGCATGCTGATAACGATGTCCTCCACGGTGCTCAGCAGCGATGAAATCTCACCACATGTCAAGCCAAGCAACAAGCTATATTCTTGTTACCGTATTTTCCGCACTAAAAGGTGCACCTAAAAGCTCACAGTGCGCCTTAAAATTCATTATGGTAATATTTCGACCCCCAAAATGGCTCCTTGCTCGAGACATGCTGACAACGCAGAGTTCAAACTTAAGGTGATCGGTTACTCAGTTGAACATGGACATAGATCAGCGGCAAGAGAGTTCAACGTTAACAAGTCAATGTTGTAACTTGCTGTTGGTTAAGTGAACCGTGTCGCTGCTTTATTAAATAGGTTTTTGTTGCGTCTGATCGTTCTGTTGGCGTTTCCTTGAGCGTAACTCCATCTCGTGGATGCATTGTCGATTGCGTCTTATAATGCGGTGCGCCCAATGTATGAAAAAAATGACAAAATAGGCCATTCATTGAAGGTGCGCCTCATAATCCAGTGCGCCTTTTAGTGTGGAAAATATGGTACATTCTCTTATCATTTAGCATTTCTTGTTCTAATAGAAAAATATCTAGTCTGATCTGTTGGAATGCAGCATTTTATCTCATCGGAATTTTTTTTTTTTTTTTATGTCCTGTGTCACAATCCTTCCTGCTGTGGTGGAATGTTCCCCTGTGTTCTTGGCAACACATCAGCTTGTTAGCCAGACATTCACACCTGCAGAGCTCAGCTGAAGCTTGTTATCCGGCCACCTTAGAAGCAGCCTCTACTTCAGCGTTGCCAGATCATCTTTATGTCATTACAGTCTTTCCAGTGTTCACTTCCACATTTACTGCAGTTTTTTGATCTTGTTTATACCTGGAGAAAGCGGTGCGCCGTAATCACCGTGTGTAGTGGGAATGAGCTGCGGCTGACCTCGATTCGGGGCATTGTGAGTTGGTGGGGAGTGGATAAGATCCCGCTCGGCGTTCGTAAAGGGCCGTGGGCCCGTCTTGGTTAACATACCTCACCGAAGTGGCTAGGGAGAGAAAAGTCTGGGCTCCCCTGCTTGGCAACTGCCTCCGTAAACCAACCTTGGAAAAGCAGAAGAAATGGATCGAAGGGTGGATGGATAAAATACATGTGAGCACGAAAATATAAACTGCACCAATATGGTAGATCAAGACGAGCCCGATGAAGTGGCTTCGGTATTTCATTTTGATGCCTCCTGGAACCTCCCTTTGCGCCATGAGGAGGCTCCGGCGGACTACCTTGGACACGCTTGAGAAACTACTGTACAGTATCTCTCTGGCCTGAGAATGCCTCTGGATCCCTACCAGAAAGGGCTGGACGAAGTGGCAAGGGAGAGAAAAGTCTGGGCTCCCCTGCTTGGCAGCTACCCCCGAAAACTAAGTCGCTCGTGGGTTCTTGTTTGACTTGAGCAACAAGGTCAAACGGATCCTCCATTGCATCAGCACACACACACGTTCTTGAGCTTGTATGTGTCTGTCCCCGCAGCGACACTTCATGCAGTGCACTGAGGAGAACCCAGTGTTTCAGGGAATCGATTGTGAGGTGTTTGAATCCCGCTACCCCACCACCATGGCCCTCTCCGTGCTGGTTACCATTGAAATGTTCAATGCGCTCAACAGGTCAGTCATCGTCTCCTTGAAATGTCACACTTAAATGTCAACTGTCACGTGGCTGTAATTGAAGAGACGCCGTCATCCGGCATGACACCACTTCTTTGAGAAAGCATTACACATTTGCCAGAGGGATAACCGCATAATTTTCATGCCAGAACAACACACACATACAATGACCTTAACAACTTGAATGAAAGATAAGACTGAGTATAAAGGCTGTTTTCTTTTCCGCTCGCCACAGAAACAAGACCCGCTGTCTTATTTAGGAAGAATTTTTTTGGGGAAAAAAATGAGATCAAACTAATAGGCTGCCTAATGCATGTCTTCCTAGTAGAAGACAGTCTGAAAAATAAATAAAAATAAATTAATTGGTACGGGAAGACATTTCTTAACTAGAAGATTGTGTAAGTAGAGACGCGCTTTCCATGTAAATGCCCTAATCCGTTCCAAGCTCCCCCAAATTCAGACGTGTTTTCTAAAGCATAAAAATGCATCAAAATATGTTACACATGTTGCAATTAGATTATTGCACAATAAATGAGAGTTGTGGATAATGTAAAAAAAAAAGACACATATCTATCTATTTATATATCTACACACATAGATACATATGGTAGAGGTCCCACTTAGCCAACGGGAGACCAGGAAGATGCCAGGTAATAGCCAATGGTACATCAGATATAAGTATGTTGCGTTCAGGAAACTCAGAGCTACGAATAGCAGACCGTTCTGTATTTTTACCTTTCATATCTTGAAATTTTTTTCGTTACAAGAGGCAATATTTTCCTGTTGAGGCGTTTCGTAACTTGAAAATTTCGTATGAAGAGATAAATAGAGGTACCACTGTAACTCGATTTCAATTTACAAAATAACATCTTTCAGCGTTGTAAGAAGAGGCAAAGGTTTCAATGTATTGCTCGACTGTCGAGTTATCCGCATATTCTGATCAAAACCACTTTCTCTCCCGACAGTTTGTCCGAGAACCAGTCCCTTCTGCGAATGCCTCCCTGGGTCAATATTTGGTTACTGGGAGCCATTGTCCTTTCTCTCTCCCTCCACTTCTTAATCCTTTATGTTGAGCCTATGCCAGTAAGTACATCTTTGAGGCGGTTGGTGGTACTGTCCGGTGGCGTCACACGATTTTTTTGTCTCAATGAAACGCCTAAACTCACTTCAACAGGCACAGTAGTTTCCTCTGCACCGCGATGCCAAAAGGATGCCTGACTGGTCTGAAGCTCCTCGGTTCATTTTAACACGCTGAACCGCAAATATGTTGCGGTTCACCGTACAGTGCAAAAGTCCACCAATTATCACATCGTAAAACAGCCAATGGGAGAGGAGGATGCAGTCGGAAGAATGATACATGAAACTTTGTGGAGGTGTGGCACATGAGTCACAGACGAAGCTAATAAATGTTGATCTGCAAAAATAAAATCAATAAGCATGATGTAAAGAGTATTGACAAAACAACAAACCCAATCATGACCTTTGACATTTTGACAGTAAAACTATTTTGCAATCTTTTCAATAACGTTCACAGTAATAACCATGGCCAAACTTTCCGGAAGCAAATTATTCAATGCAGAAACTTGTGTCTGTCACCTTTCCTCAGATGATGGTATATTTATCAAAGTCTTCCGTTGCTTTTATCATTCAGCTGATCTTCCAGGTGACCCCTCTGCGTTGGTCTCAGTGGACCGTGGTCCTGAAAATTTCAATCCCTGTTATCCTCCTGGATGAGGCACTAAAATATATTTCCAGGCATTACCTTGAAGGTATTTTTCAATTTTTTTTTCTCCCCCATTTATTGTATTTCATCAAGTGATGGTATCGTGAGCCTCGAGCAAGTCACGTCTGTCTGAAAGCCGTTTACAGTAATCCCTCGTTTATCGCGGTTAATGGGGACTAAAACCACCCGCGACAAACGAAAATCCGCGAAGTAGCCACCCCCTCCTCCATATAGGTACATGTACATAATATTTATAAGACCAAATTTAATGCTATACACGCATGTAGAAGTAAATTTTGAAGTAATTAACATGACTTAATGCTGTATACCAATAGATTTAAACATGTATAAGTTAGGTTAGTTTATTCATTTTTATTTTATTTTATTTTTTTTTAAGTCCGCAAACGGTCCGGGAGAAGCTGCGAAAGTCAGCAAAACAACAGCGAGTCACATAGAGCAACAGATACAGGACTGTACTATATGTATATGATTTTTTAAATTTTTTTTAATGAATATGTTTGAAAAAATCCACGATGCACTGAAGCCGAGATAAACGAACCGCGTAATAGCGAGGGATCACTGTAATGTTCTTACGGGGATGTTTAAATCAAGTGCAATTTCATCCTTTCACTGACTTTCCTTTTTTTTCCTCCTCTGCATTTCAAATGCAGCCTAAATTCTTTTCTTCCCTTCTATGGAAAGGTACAACCCCTCCGAGTACCGCTTTACTCTTCAATATGACGACTGTAAATTGCTCATCATCTGACTTAAAATCTTTTTCCCTCACTTTGGCAGGTGATGATGAGAGGAAGTACCGGAGGAAATGGCAGCAGAATTAAGTCGTCTCCATCCAACGCGCTCACAGTTAGACACAGGCTTTCCTTCTTCCCTCTTACAAGCGACAACCCCCTACTCATCATTCTGTGTCGGATGAACCACCACTACACAGTCAAGAGGCATGCCTGAAGAAAAACAAACAAACAAACAAAAAAAAAAGCTGCTGCAATCTTTGGCTTGAATGTGAGCGAATGCCGGAAAAAAAAAATGCGTGCAGTAACTTTTTTTTTTTCTTCCCAGTGGAATGAAGATTGATAATGCAAGGTGGGTGGGGTGAGGTGTGAAAAGCAGGAAAATAAGCCTAAACTCTGAGATGGCGTGTGGAAAAATGTGGCTCTTGGGCTGCTGTTTTGTGTGTCGGGTCACTGTTGAGAACTACCGAACCTGTGCGTCTTTGTGTCTGCGTGCGCGTCCCGCAATAATCTGGTAGTACTGCCCGAGCTTCTGCAAATCACTTTTCTAGAAGTAGCGTGATATATATCTCGATCTCAAGGTCATCACAGGAAAGCTTTCCTCGTCACTCTTCATCTCTTCCCCCTCAACACAGAGCTCAAGCCGTCTTGAGCTGACTGCACTTGCCGTGAGCACGGAGGTGATCCAGCTGCTTTTACGTGGCTCGGCCACTTCTTCCGGTGCTTTATTTGCGGGCCCACTTTCAAAACTCAGCGAGAAAAAGTCAAGTTAGATGATAAAAGCTAAAAGGCTAAGCAGCAGTAAAACCAGTGTATTAGTTGTGTCTTTGTCATTTGGCTCTTTTAATTAATAATAATTCTGTCTGTTTGTGTGTGTGTGTAAATGCACGATAACCTTGACAGCTGACATTCTCTCAATTTTTTTTTAATGCATGAGCTCAACTGGTCCATGTTTCAATATTTTTGCCGGTGGTTTTTTGCTTTCCCTGAAACGAGCCGAATGGGAACAGGTTGTCCGAGGACATCGGCCGCGATACCTTTCTGTGATTCTTGCCGTCTTTCCGTGTCTCTGTTGCAAGCGGTGGTTTTTTTTGCTTTCTCTGAAAAGAGCTGAATGGGAAGAGGTTGTCCGAGGACATCGGCCGCGATACCTTTCTGTGATTCTTGCCGTCTTTCCGCGTCTATGTTGCAACCCCTCGGTGACACTCGAAGCTTACTGGCACTTCACTCTAAGCTTATTGCCAACTTCTCTCTTAGAGCATTGTTCGAAGTTCAGAACTGTGAGGTCCTGTCAATCAAATCAAATGGGTCAATGAATGTTTCGGAAATGTTGTCGTATTTTAACATTCAGCTCCTTCGTAGAGAACAAGGCAAAAACGAAAACATTGAAATGTTGGAGATTTGCATTCAAAAGTTTAGGGAAGATTACATGAAATGCAGCTGTGAAGATTATTGGGCACTTTTAGTTCATCCTGAAAGCCGGCCATTGCTAATATTTTTCGGAGTGGTGTGGCCCATAATCTGGTTGACGTTTCAGGCTCTGAGTTGAATGTATTGTACAATATAAGTTCAAGAATGGCAAGTCGACTGCTTGATTGTCTCAAAAGTACGTATTGAATCACACCAGGCCTTATACAGCCCCACTGCAACTCCACTTGGACCAAGTGGTGAAAATGAATGTCTTACGAGCCGCTTAATGATGTTTTTGTCCACCGCGACCATTCCTGTGTTCCCCTAAAAGTCAAATGTTGGTCATGAGATTCAAAAGCTTTTGCCGTGTGTGCTTGGTGCGCTACTCTTTCGCTTCTCCTACGTTCTCAAGTCTTTTAGCAACTCAAAGGGTCCATGTTTTAGATAATTAAATCATGTATTTGAAAGAACACGCGTGGTTGAGATTGTGTCTTTTAGCTCTAAATTATTGGCTTCGCGTCGGGTCCGGAAGCTTTGTGGACTGGGTCACAGTGGTTGGCTGCTTGTTTGTTTAGGTGTTTTTTTTTTTTTTTTTCTTCATCTCTTTGATCCACTTGCCGAAAACACACCCAGAAAAAAATAGTTGAAAACGGTGCAAGTGTTCCGAATGAATTTGTTTCGATTTCTTAAAAAAAAAAAAAAACTAATGAATTTGTTTCGATTTCTTAAAAAAAAAAAATAAAAAAATTCCCATGGCTTGCCAACCTCTGGCCACCGGGCCCCATCGAGGTCTACATATGTTTATTTACTACTGAATCCTCAATTCTGTACAGAAGATGACTATATGATTGCATGGAATCATGTTACTGTAATAATAACCTATACAGTATATAGATTGTTTGGGGAGTATCAATGAAACTACTTTTTCCCCCCCTTTTGGCACTTCTTTGCATTTTGTAGAATAGAGAGTTATTTCTTGATCATTTTTTGTTTGGCTTTTACATTTGGGTTTTTGTGTGGTGACTGTCGGGGAAGCATACAATGTCAAGTTGGAGAATCATTACGCTGATTGACTGACAATGACAGTGATCGTTTCAGTGTGCCGGTGTGACAACGATCGAAAATTCGTATAAACGCTGGTTGATGATGAGCAAAGAGTAGTGAAGGATTCTGGGTAGTGAAATTGTGTGGCTGTACAGTGAAGGGCTTGGTGTAGATAAGCAGGCTCTGGAGACGAATGGCCCGTCCTGAGAAATTGAACTCATTGATGGGACCGCCATCATGGTGCACCGACCATCTCAGATAACCTTGTTGTCTCACAGTAGTGTGGCGATCATGTTCATATCCATAACAACTCACAATTTAAATAAAATAAAAGTCTCGAGAGCCTGACTTTCACCTGTAAAACGGAAAAAGATTGTCTGTATTGCCTTGTTAATATTGATTGTGGACACATAATTTTTATAACTAACGAAGACGTGGAAATAAAGATTATTTATCTTATTTATTCTGAGCTTCTATTTTGTTTTTACTTTTTGCAGGTTACATATGAAAGAAAATTAAACTTTTGTTTGTACACAAATAGTTTTCATACCCATGAAAAGCGAAATTACAAAACCAAGTCTCACTAAAATTTTATTTTGTAAAATGCAATTTGAAATGAAAATCAAGAACATATACTGTATCTATGTGTACAGTATATGCATATGAACATATGTGCATTGTACTTGGCCATGGAACAGAAGCCAATTGTCCAATTTCTTTTCGTCCCTTAAAAAGTCAGACACATAAAATGTGTTGTATTTCCGACAGTTCAACTAATTTGGATGTAAACACCCTCTCATTAAAGCTCAGAGTCTGCACTTAAATCACATCTTGATTGTTTCATTCGAAATCCATTGCAGTTTTGTGAAAACCTGAAAATTGTGTCAATGTCCAAATATTTATGGAACAGAATGTGTATATGTACATATGTATGTGTACAGATGCATGTGTATACAGTACAGTATGTACTCTATATGTATATCTATTTCATATTGTATGTGTATACGTCCACTACCCAGTACAAGGTTTATGCTATTGCCGCATCAATCGTAATCTTATTTTAGATTCTCATTCAGCATCGCTACGATTGATTCGTTTCCGGCTTTTCTCTGTTCGTTTGCGTTTTCGAGAAGATCAAGGTAGTGGCCATTCGATTACGTGCTCGTTTAAACATGCATCGGATTTACATCACCAGCAGGGGGCGATATTTCACCACCATGTATTTTCATGACCCTTCAAGTTGCTCCGAACTGGAATCAGCTTTGCAGCGTCATAAGTTTGCTGTGGAATGAAGACAAGAGTTTTTCCATTTGAGACGTTTGTGCTCAGGATAGTAAAGTGATGCTTCTCCGCTCCAACCTGGGTTTTTTTCTGTATGAGTCAAACTCCTGGCTCGACCAGCACATTTTCGTGGGGCGCTTGCTGGTGTACAAGTAGAACGCTTACAAACCCTCACAGAAAGAGGATGATCTCAAAAAGAGCCCGTTTGAAATGTCCAATCTGAGCTTCGGATGGATACATGATAGTTCCACAGTCACACATATTCAAGACAGCCAGAGATTGCAGGTGATGGATCTTCATGCAACGCGAAACAAATCAGGCAACGAAATGAATCTCCTGCCTCTGCAGTGTTTCATGATGGGCCGTTAAACAGGACGCTCTGTTAGGAGTCAATAATGCGGCAATGACGCTGCAAAAACACAGAAATATGCAAAAAGACGTGTGTGCGGATGAAGTTAAAAAAAAACAAGCTAAAACTGTTTTAATACAGCGATGACGACAAGGGTGCCATTTTTTTTTTTAGTGTCACTTTGTCTATGCTTCACCTAATATTTTAAACCACTTCCGGCATCTAAATTACACCCGGAAGTATTCAGACACACCTCTTTAATTTAACTAGGAGAAGGTAGCACGGTGGAATAGTTGTAAGCGCGTCTTTACAGTTTTTTTTTTTACCTTTCACATTCCAGAACCAGGCGTGTTAGAATCTAAATTGTCCTTAGGTGTGAATGTGAGTGTGAATGGTTTTCTCTCTCTATGTGCCCTGCAAATTGACTGGCAAGCAACCCAGGAAGGAGCCGTTCTCTCCCCTGAAGGCATCTGGGATAAGCTCCAGCTCATTTGTGACCCTGCCCTTGAAGAAAGAATTCTCAATTCTCTGCTTTCGGTTTTAGGGGAATACAGTAGTTTGGGGGAGGCCTTTTTCTGCTTTTTCTGTCCATGACTGTGCCTCAGAATCAAAGTATCACTGACCTGAGATCTACCAAATTATTTTCAGAAATAAATTGAACATATATATATATATATATATATATATATATATACACACACACACACACACACATAAAATGTGTGGACTCTAACTTTGTACCTTTCTGCCCTTGACATTATTTGTTGCATAATTGTGAATAAAATACTTAACCAGTGTGCATATTAATATGTGGATGTGAATAGAGACGTACTTTTATTTAATCTATAAGAGGAATTAATTTTCACAGTTCTGCAATTTCATTTACAGTCCAATTCTTTTCATTGATTGGGCATCAATGATTGGGTTTGTGACGACATGTTACGGTTGACACTCACATTGTGCATAATTACCACCTATAGGAATGCAGTGGAAAACAATGACATCCTTTTAAATCAAACCAGTCAGACAAGACATGTTTAGTGTTGTTCAGCCTGCGAAGCTACTCTACTTCACTTCTGTAACATTAAAGTTGTGGGGAAAATTGACTTTGAATTATTTGTATATAAATAGTTGTGTCTCTGGAGTCTTTTCCCCACCTATTAGTGAGGAGTTAAACATGCAAGTATATCTGTAGGTGGGGGGGGGGGGCAGCAAGTGAAGTGTTTGTTTTAAATGTAAACTTTTGTCAGAAGCGCTGATTGGCAGGAACGTAACTTTCTTCATGACTTGGTGAAGTTGTCTCCTCCGTGACATCCAAAAGGTCCCCAGAGTAATTAACTGACAGCTTGGTGAGAGAAACTCAAATACATGCTGACAGACTTCTCACATGCTTGTTTAGGTTCCGGGCGCTAAGGTCAGCTATCCCTAGCGCCATGCATAGTTGTCATGGTAACAAAATACGTGTTTTGCTGTCAGTTAGCGTGGAAAATGTCTTTATCCTTGGGATAGTTAGCAGAAAGCTCATTTTCCAAGAATGTTCTTGAGACTCCCGGAAACTTAGTGGCAAGATCCATCATTACTCCTTGGTGAATTATTTCGCTGCGATAGTTTGTGAAATGTCTTGTAAATTACTATCGTTGAAACATGAGGACTTGGAACTCGAGGAGGAGGCTCATCTGGTTTCATTTAAACGAGCGCCCAACATTTATACATATAAGGCTGTGTTGTGACTGAGCTCCTCAACATAACTCAACAAGCAGGCGCGGTTCGCCGGACACTCTGATGTCTTTGCAGTAGAAGCTGTGCGAGAAGAAGAAGGCACACACTGTGACCTCTTCCTCACAGCAAGCGGTCGTAAAGAAGAGGATGATTCTCGTGGCTCATGTCTGAAGGATGCGGAGGCCAGACGACAAGAGCTTTGTCAGCCATTTAAAAAGTGCGACATCATGACATCGCAAGAATTATTTCAGCAAGGCTGGATGCGAGCACAGTAATCAAATGTGGATGTTGTTGGTAAACAATTTGTTTTGGAACACTCGACATTTAACAATGGAATGGGAAGAAATTGGAAGATAATGCGACATACATGAAGCGGTGCCCTATAAAATTGGTGTTACGTGTAGGCGTAAATATTTGTGTATTCAAAGTAATGCTATTAAGTATTGTTGTTATTACGGAATATAATTGGAGCATACATAAAAAAAAAAGAAAAAGCATTATTTGCGCGCAAGCATTTGTTTGAACAATTGGGCCATTTTGAGCAACATTGTGATGAACGAATGCCAATTTACAGCACCCTATTTGCAATTTGCAGTTCAGTGCATTGAAACAGCAATGCTGATGATGGTTTACAGTACGACCACTTTTTCACCCCTCGCATAAATATCTGTTGTCATGTTTTTGCTTCTCTGGAGCATTCACACTCAAGCCATAACATGAGGATTGTTTTAGATGTGACAATTTGATCGATCTAATTGGGATGTAGAAATGTACTCCACACAGGAAGGCCAGAGCCCAGACCTCTGCGCTGTGAGGCCGACGCGCTAACAAGACGAAATAAAAATCTCAAAATGAAAAATAAATCTCAAGTGTACTCTGAATGCTTGAGCAGGATGACTTAAATTACATTGTGGTTCATTACTTTTTTTTTTTTTTTTTGTAGCCCCGAGTCACTGCTCTGCCAATTTGCCGTTGAAAGACGTTTCGATTTGTGCGGTTTAGGAAACGCTTTATGTAGTAATAAAAATGAGCCCAACAGGGGCGCTCTCTCGCCATCATTCCAAACAAATGCACAGATTAAATCAAACAATATAAAATGGGGATTTGAGAATATCTAGGTCCGTGCGATTTTGCATGAATACAGAGGGCAATGCACTGTGCAGTATAGTCCAAGATTATTCTATCGCTGTGTTGTAAATATAACAATGGCGCATTCTCGTGACGCTGCAGGGAACCGGGCGGATTATAGGACCCGTGTAATTCAAGTCAAGGCGAATAACTGAAGTTATGGTTTCCCGTGTGCAGCAGCCAGCGTGAGACAAAAGCGGCGAGTGCTTTCGCGCGTGTGGATCGCCGCTGCAGCGTGCAGGAGCAGCCGATTCGCTTTCTTTAATCTCCAGCGAGGATCCGAACACATTACGAGGAGAGGAGAGAGGGTTCGGCGTGGGCGCACCGTGGCACTGTTATTTCCGGAAGAAAAGAGAGGGGCGTCAAAACAACATGGGACACATCTCGGGTCAGCAGCTGGTGGTTCTCGCTCGCATCTAACCGGGCAGGACAGTTGCACCGACGCGTTGTTTTGGCTTGTGCGCGCCGAGACACGCGGGGACGGACACGTCCGACCGGGACATCCCTCACCCCCCCCCCCCACCCCTTGGGTCTGTGACAACGCAAGAAGAGGTTCGACGCTCATTTGGGTGAGTGAAACTTTTTTAAAATTTGGTGTGCGTGTTCGGTGAATGCGTTTGGTGGTGCTGACAGCCAGTCAGTCGGATCATAATATGGGGAAGTGGGTCGAGAAAATGCATGACGCTTGTGTTTCACAATCTCGATGAAGAGAAGGCACGTACAAGGTACCCTGATTTGCGAGTTAAACTCGTTAAGTGACCAGGCTCGTAACTGAAATCACTCGCACGTGAAAACAACTTGACCATTTGAAATGAAAAGAAATACTGTTGATCCGCCCCCCCCCAAAAAAAAACATCAAAACAAAGTGGCAAGTATTTAATTGTTCAAGCAAATTTTATTTTCACTCCACTTTGACAGAATTGATTCAATCTCAACTGTTTTGTTTGTTTGTTTGTTTTTAATTCCTGCTTTTCCCACTCACAGCATCTTCTTATACTTTTAATAGACCCCATCTTGAAAATTATTTCAATATCCATGGGTGGCTTGACAGTCTTTATGGTATGGGTCTCACATTTTATACTATTCACCACCACAGCACCGCCAGAAACAATGAAAGTGGAACACAGCCAGTGGGGGAACGATCTGGCAGTTGTTGCGAGAAGCTAACGTAAAGCTAGTGTCAAGTCACAATAATCATGTCTGCAGTATGGAAATAGATTGTGGAAAGTGGAGTCAATGCAGCGGCGACTTGCCAAGTGTGCGAATTGAGCATTTTGCGTGACGGAAAGGATAGGAGCCTACGTTTAACAAATTGAATCCAACACCTGAAAAATTGATGTCAGGATCGTTATCAACCTTCTGCAGAGCTTACTGATGAGCTGATCATTTGAAGGGAGTGTGGTAGAAGAGGGACAAATCCAAAACGTGCAGTATAGCGGCCCTCAAAGACTGGAATTGAACACATCTTGAGTATACTTTTACTGCGAAGGGATTCAATTTCTACTGCGATAAAAATTTGGGGCCCATCCCTACAGCCGTCCAAAATAGCCTCAAAATATGCCCCTCACTGAAATGTAGCCACATAGAAAAACACCAAATTACTCACTCGGCTTCTCCTTCATTGTCATTGCTGAAAGCCTCTTGATGCGTAATAAACATAATGCATGTTTGCCTGAAGTGGTGCTTGCACAGCTGCAAGTTGCATATTTCTTAATCACCAGCCATTGTCCTGATGGTTTACTCTGAATTTACTAGAGACTGATGACCTTGTACAGATGTGCATCTCTGAAATTCAAAGCGGTGTATGACAAATAAGGAAGTCCACTTTTACTTGGAGCCCTGCCCACTTGGTGCTTGATCATTATTATTAATTGAATGTTCCAGTATTTGAATGAGCCTGAGGGCTGTTTAGCAACAACGTCGCCGAGCAGCTCCACTTCCCTTTCAAATGTTCATTATATTTGCGGACATAAATATGCACTGTGATAGACATTATGCAGACGAGGGCTTCTGCAATGAGAAGCACAGAAATGCTGTGGCCGGACGACCATATTCTATCTGCATGGGTGCTGTACTGACCCAAAAAAATAGTGGCTCTGCAATAGACTTCCAATGTTAGTTAAAAAAAAATCATTTAGTCCTTATTTGTGTGTTTTATTTTTTATTGGATGCTTTCACTTGATTCAAAGACTTGCGATTTCCCTTCTATTTCACACGTCACTGTGGTGCTGCTTTCTCAGCGCTGTATTAGAACCACTCGTTCACTTTGGCCATCGTGCAGAAGTGCAAGCCAGCTACTGAAAAAGAGGCCATGTCAAAATTTCATCGTCTTACAGCTCCTCTGGGAAATCACTTGATTAAGGCGAAGGGATAGAAACTGGTGTGTGTGTGTGTGTGTGTGTGTGTGTGTGTGTGTGTGTGTGTGTGTGTGTGTGTGTGTGTGTGTGCGCGCACGCTCGTCTGTGAGAGATTTTATGCAGTTTGTGTTTCATCTCCTTAAGCCAAACATAAATACACCCATTTTCACCCATGTAGTGAAGTAAAGTACATCTGGTCTGTGAGTCTGAGAGTCACCAGAATGTGGCTCTGCTGGATGCCAAAAATTGTTATGTCCTGTTGCTTTTCTTATTGAAAATTGTTTTCTATTTTGAGTTGATCATAACAAGTGATGCTGATTTCCATCAAGTTGTTTCCTTGGTACACCGAGTCATACTCAATACCTGATTCGGTGGTGTCCACCTTAGGGATGGTATATTTTGAATGAGTGAGTGCGTCATGTATTATAATGAGGTAAACCGAATGAATGGATGAAACTAATCATTGCATACGATGGACCAACATACAATAGCAAAGAGTTCTTTTTGTATAGCTGTAGATGAACGTATTGTGACTGCCATCCCTCTCATCGCCAACGTTATTTCCACCGGTTCTGTTCATCCCCGCTCAAACTTAAAAAAAAAATGGACAACCTTGACAACAACAGACCCATCTCCAATGATCCATTACTAGGACTCAGTAACGCAACTCCATCATCATACTCCATTCAGCTGTATGAAACTTCTCTGTCCAGATTCAGCTCACAAGCTGACTTTGGTTGCATCGCCATTCTCCTTTTCCTTGATCGTTCTGCCACATTTGACAGTATTAATCACACAATCCTCCTCAACCGTCTACATTCTGTTGGCATCTCTGGAACAGCGCTCTTCTGATTTATCTCGGACCTCTTCGACCATCATCACTTTGTCTCTGTCAACAACTGCAAGTCCCACACTTCCTCAGTCAGCCATGTAGTCCCCCAAGGTTCAGTGCTCGGCCCCCTCCTCTTCACAATGCACATGCTCTCCCTATGTCACATTCGCCACCATGGACTCCATTTTCCCTTTTACGATGACGATATTCAACTGGAAATCTCGACCAAATCTGTCATCCTCGCCATCATAATCGACTGACTTTTTGACATCAAAACCCGAATGGACAAAAATTAAACCGGAACTCCTCATCACCGTGCCCAAAAGGTCAAAAGGTCACACCCTCCCCCTCCATTCGCAACCTTGGCCGAATCATGGACTCCACTCTTTCACCAATCCAATATCGACCACACCACTTAAACCACTTAAACATCCTTTTTTTTTCCACCTACGCGACATTGCACGCCTCGTCGCTCCCTTTCCCAGACCACAGACAAGATAATCATTCATGCTTGCAGTCCTCTCAGATTCAACTACTGCAATAGCCTCTTTTTTGGACCTCCACCTATCTAGAAAAAAATTGAGTATGTCCAGAACTCTGCTGCCCACTTCCTCACCCACACCTGCCCCAGGGAGCACATCTCCTCAGCCTCCATCACCTCCACCTGCTCCTTGACCAACACTGCATCCAATACAAACTTCTCCTCCTAACCTGGCCCCTCCCTACCTCTCCGACCCATTGCAGCATCACTGTCCCACCCTTCCCCTCCGCTCTGCTGACTCTGCTCTCCTCACACCCATCACCCGCACAAAGCGCCGGATTTCGAGGGAACCGAGCATTCGTCGCCACCGTCACAACCGATCAGGAACTCAGACTCTAGAAAAGTTCAAATCCTTTAAAAAAAAATATATATATATATATATATATATATATATATATATTTATAA